AATAAACTTTTTTTCTAAAAAAATAAACTATTTTTCGAAATTTATAAACTGTTTAACTATCACTACTAGAAAAATGGTCTATAGTGACACTAAATAAGTGTCACAAAAAGTTTTTCTGACACTAGAAAAGTGTCAAAGAAGGTCGGGAATTGTGACACTAAATTTAGTGTCACAGGTAAAGTGTCACTAATTTATGACACTAATGTATCATAAAAAATTATGATAAAATAATATCACTTTACATTTTGACACCTTAGTATCAATTAAATTTATGATACACCGGTATCACATAATGTTGATTATATATATAATTATATACACACACGAAATATACGATTATTACTTGAAAAATAAAAATGACAACGTATGAAAATCAAAAGGCACTTTATTGAAAATAAAAAGAATTATCATTTACAATTCAAATGTCACACATTCCAACACAAATTCAACTACATCTATAATAAACTAATTTGAGATCCTCCAACTGCTATAAGCTCCTTCTTGCTGTTGCTGGGTGGACGCTGGGCACCACCCTGTACTGCTCCAGACTCCTTGGAAGCAGAAGAATCATCCCCACCATAATGCTCGGTCCTCCTTTTTCTTACCATCTTTTCTACAAGAATATAATACAATTATTACTATAAAATGTTTCCTCTGTTGTCACGCAACACAAATGACTGCATACTGTTTTCAAATGTGCAATCGCAACAACTTTTCATGCAATAAACATGAATTACTGAAAAGCTAAGCCTTCACTCAAATAGACAAGTTACTCTATTAGAACCAAAACATTAAGCCCATTAAAAATGTATGGACCCTCCATCACAACATTAAGTACCACAACACGTGATGCATATAAAATAGAACACAAAAGTTTAGCACTAACAGAATTAAGCAATAATACAATCGGACTGAGAGCAGGGATATAAAACCATATCCTAATGGATTATTCAAATTGTGATTTGATGCAAAAGATTTATTATAAACTAAAACGGTACAAAACACTATCATGTGTTTTAGATTTGTGTACTCGTCGATAAACAACTCAACAAAGATATCACGAAACATATCGCACGCTAAAAAAAGCAACACATACAATCCACATTAGAAAGAAAGTAAATTGACCAACATAAAGATAACTAATAGAGCAAACCTCTAAAGCAGCTCTTTCAACCACTTATACGACATCATCACCAACTACTTTGATTTTCTGTAGGAGACAAAAGTAGATTTGCAATTTAAACAAGAGTATGATACATTGATACTCCCTCTATTCATATTTACATTCTTGCTATTCTCCTTTTATGGTTAAAAAATCAGCAAATTTGAAATGGGAAATCAGAAAAGAGGAGCAGTTCTGGACATGGAAAACATAGTTTTGAATGTAACCTATATTTGCCTATATAGAGACATATATATCATGTAAGCAAATAATTGAAAATATATCCTCTGCCCTTTAAAAATATATGTGCAAAAAAAGAAACCTGCAAGTACCTTTTATTCATATATAAAAGACTTATACATGGCTCCCAAGTACAAAGTTGTTCATATGTACAAACCTGCATAGCATCAAAAGATAAGTCTCTCAGTAGAAAGGAGCCATATCCCTGCCCATGAAAAGAAATAGAAATCCCAAGCATAAGAGGTTCAAATATATTTATATTAAAAAGGTTACAAAAAAGAGTCAGGCATCATTATTTACTACATACATGCCTCTAAAACCTTCTTTAGAAATGATCAGGGGCAGAAGCAAATTGCTCAGTCTGTATCCTTTGCTTGACTACCTGTGAATTTTTAGTAGCATGAGCTAGAGTCAATGCAAGATGAAAAGGCTAAAGTTGTCAGCTCGCAACTACCTATGTTGGCACACAGACAATTGAAGAATAAACACATCCAAGTCTCCAACTGCCCTTGTATTCTTAATGAAGCCTGAAATGTTTGTCCTTATTTTTTTAACTTCAAGAGTGGGGGTAAGTGCTGCCCAAATTGGAAAAAAATAGACGGAAATTTCAAAATAAAAAAAGATTAGCACAAATTTATGTCTCTCAGACTTATTTTAAAATGAATCCCCAACACAAAACAGTCACATATCATCTAGAGGAGTCCACAAAAACCAAATGCCCCCTCCCCAACAAGTTAAACATATCAAATACTAAAAGCTATATCCAAATGGAAGGAATATGTCAGTATCCTAAGAGCATTCATATACACACTTGGGGGATTGTAGATTTGTAGTGAACTTACCTCAGTGTAATCTCCTCGACATTTGTATCTGATATAGAGTATAAAATCGTATTAGTCAAGTCAAATACCTTGTATCTATAAACGAGTAGGTCATATTAGAAAAATTAGACATATACCAATAAACGAGTAGGTCATATTGGATCATCTAACGGATCAGATAAACATATACCAATAAACAAGTAGGTCATATTGGATCATCTAACGGATCATATACATATCCTGTGAGATTACGGAAGCATATTACCAGCTCTAGGCCACCTTGACGCCAGAGATTTTGCCCCGACTGCATGCCCTTCCTCCTCGATCTTTGCGGACAGCCTTCAAGAGAAGAAGAAAATAGATTAATCCCTATACTCAGTAAACATTTTTAAGAGTCTAGTGGGACTTTGTTGGGGGCAGCTGCCCCCCTCTTGGCTTAGTAGATCCGCCGCTGATTCAAATAAAATGGCTAGCTAGAGCTACTATCACCGAAGATACTCCAGCCTGAATCAAGCTCATATCAGCAAAAAATGACATAAACACAAAGTAGAATGAAATTAAAAAATACCTGCTTTTCTCTTTAGAGCTACTGCAAAAGAGGGGTGCGTGACTGTTTATTCTTCCTAGTCATTGGGGAAGAAGATGAACATTACGTTCCTCACTTGAACATGGTCAGAATAGTCCAGGAAAACTCTCAAAGATGCCCCTTAGAATGATGAACAACCCAGTATCTTCCTTTGGAAGAATGGACAAGCATGGAATCCAGAAAAAAAAAACCTAACTTGTATTTAGTTCCATGAATCACTGTAGCAGTCAGCCCAAGGTAGTAGGAGATGAACAGTAACCTTTTTTCAGAAAAATACTCAAAAAATTATGAAAAAATCTGCTATGTTCCCCTTTAAAATACGAAGCTAGTGGTGCAATTCGTATTCCCAGAACAGGCCCCAATAATTCCCAGAATTTAAAGAAGCAGAGGAAAACTGCGTGCAGTCAACAGTAGCCAAGAATTAGGGAGAAACCTGAGTTGAAGCTTATAGGAGCCAAAAGAGGTGTCCTTAGCTTTGTTTCAGCAAGACGGTCTCCAATCTGGCTTCAGAAATTGATTTGAACACATGATTTTGATTAATTTGAAGAAATCAAATCTGCGAATGAACAATACTCTTCCTCTTCAAATCCTTCGTTTTTAGACTTTTATGTAGATTGAAGCTTCGAATCTTGTATTGGGAGGTTAGCCAGAGGGTGGCGACCCCCAAACAAACTCCCTTTTGCTATAACAATCATCCAAAAACAGATCACAATTCAAAATTGAAATCTGCGCATGAACAGTAAATATGCGACCTGGGAACTCTAAAATCCGTCGTTTAAGCTTAAAAATTCAGATTCTTTCAATTCTACTAGATGGAGAAGAAAGAGTAATGAATTCCGAGCCTAGAGCAACAAGAAATTTCAAGTTTAATTGATTAATCTGAGAGCTAAAGATCAAACCTAGGGCGGCCTCAAACGTTGGAAATTTTTTTCCCTGCTCACAAGGCAGCGCTTTCTCTACGCGAACACTCAAACCTTTAAAAATACGGAGTAAAAAATTTCGCTTCTTGTATCACTATTATTGTTGACACCAGAGTGTCATGACTTACCGACACTTTTACGTGAAATTTTGGTCAGTGACACTAATTTTAAGAAAGTGTCACTATAAAAGTGTCACTATAAGCCAGTTTTCTAGTAGTGTATGTTTTTCAAAATTAATTTATAAACTGTTTAAATATGTTTTTCAAAATTAATGATAAAATATATATTTAATAAACTGTTTTTTGTAATCTAATATGTTTTATTATCCATGCTTAAATGGTTATACTGTTTTTTCAAATTAAAACAAAAAAAAACGGATTTTTATAAATTAATTTAAAAAACTGATTTTTTTAAATGTTATACGAATAAATAAAAAAAACTTTTTTTTTAAATTAATTAAAAAAAAAAAGTTTAATAAGTTTTCCAAAAACTGTTTTTAATAAATTAATACAAAAAACTGATTTTTTTAATGTGTTAAACTAATTTTAATGTATTACAAAAAATGAGTTGAAAACATTATAAAAAGTTATAAAAAATGAATTGAAAAAATGAGTTGAAAACACGTATTAAACTGATTTTTATAACTTTTTTTTTTATAAAAAGTTATAATAAACTCATGTATCTTCAAAAAACTAATTTTTAGAAAACATTTTAAAAAATATGTCCACTCATGTAAAGCTTGCCAACAAGTTGAACATGTTACATTTATGAGCAATTAATACAAAAATGTATTGTTTCATAGTTATAAAAAATTAATTTAAAAAATTTCGACCCCCTCATATTAAACTTATACACAGTTTAATATGTTATACACATTTTTTAATTAATAAAACTTCTTAAAAAATTGATGTTCTATTATTATCACACTAATATTTTCAAAATATACATTAATCAAATTAGATGAGTGAACGCCGTTCGAATGCATGCCGCTCGAATGCGAACAACAATGATGATGTGAATGATGACGGGGGAAATGCCCAAACACCCCCTTCACAACAATCCGATGCCGGTGGCGCATCAAGCTCCGGTGCGGGTCCATTCCGCCCTTCATATCCCCACGGAAGCCGAGCGCAACAACGGAAACACGGCTTGCGTGACACCCCAAATGGTTGATAGGTAATTAATTACGAACTTTTTCTAATTTCAAATTACGTAATCAAAACTTCTATAAATTGACATAAATATTATTATCAATTATGAATTTTTTGAAGCGATCAAGACGTGTTGGAACGAATCAAGCATATTGCTGGCGGACATTTCACGAGGGATTGTGGGTGTTACACGGAAGTTGATCCCAGGGTCCGTGAACTTTGGTGGAAACTTTCAAGGTAAAAATAAATGAATTTTCTCGGCGTAAATGTAGTAACTTAAATTTGATAAATAATATATAATTGTTCTTTAACAAAGGGCCAACATCGATGGAATGAATCTCAAGGAGCTGCTATTCTGAAAGCATGTAATACACGAGTCTCTATATGGATGAGACCCACTTTTAAGATTGCCCGAAAGACCGTGAAGAAGCCCGGATTCATTTGCGATGAAGTTTGGAACAACCTTGTTCGTCATTGGTCTTCTGATCTGATTTTTTTGCAAAGAAGCGTAGCCGGTACGCAAAACCGGAATTGCGACAAGGCAAAAGAGACACAATGGTGCGGGGGGCGCAAACCCCAGAATAAGCATAGACAAGATCTGGTAATCTCTAATTCATGAACACTTGGCACCATTACAACCCTCATATATATATAATTTTTAACTAATTTGAAAACCGTGTAGGCGGGACCCGAGAAAAAGAAGGTCTCGATGTGGAAGCTGATCAAACATTGTTGGACGAAGGGAGATGAGTCGGATGCCGAACTGCCACCTCGCATCGCCGAACTTGAAGTAAATAAAGTTACTTCAGTTATTAAATACATTTTGAAATAAATTTGATCTTAACTATTATAATAATTTTTTGAACATGTAGACGAAGTATCAGGCACAGGTGGAGAAGAAACGTGCTGAGCTGGGCCCGACTGACTCGGATCTTGAACTCGATGAAAGTTAGGGAGACGAGGCGATCCTGGAGGCTGTCGGGGTTTATAAGGGCCGAGTTCCGTGCATGGGTGCTGAAGGAGTGCGGATTTTGCGCAACTCCAGAGGAGGAGCTAGCTCATCATCTTCTCGATCGGGGGTTGAGGATGAACGTATTGCCCAACTGGAGCAAGAATTGAAGGAGCGACGGGCAGAGGACCGAAGAACAAGAGACATGCTTGAAGCAATGGAACGCCAAATGCAGTGATTCAACGCCACACATCGGCCTAAAATGTATACAGTGCACCCTGAGACGACTCCTCAGATTCCGCACATGGGAAATATATATCGGTTATCATTCTAACCCTCGATACAACATGTCTCCAATGGGGTCTTTTCCATTCAAAATTTACAACGAATTTCAGACACCCGGAGGAGGAAGCAGCCGAGGAGGAGGCAACCGAGGAGGAGGTAGCCGAGGAGGCAGCCGAGGAGGTCGACGACCCGAAGAGCACGAAGAGCCCGAACAGTCTGATAATAATATTCTGGTTGATTTTGATGATCCTAAATATTATCGCGGAAATCCCCCGAACAGTCTGTAATACTCCTTCCGTATTTTTATGTTTGCTACACTTTCCTTTTTGGAATGTGTTTAAAAGTATGTTACACTTCCATTTTTGGTAAGTTTACCTTTAACAAAATACTCAACTACTCTTACTTTTTCTACTTTTTATCTTCTCTTTCATACTTTTACACACTCTCTCCTACTTTTTATACAATATTCATTATCCCTAATACTTTACTCCTTAAATAATGTGCCAAATATAATGTAGTGAACATAAAAATACGGAGGGAGTAATACATAGTTTAATTTAAATTGAACTTTTATTAAATTACTGTGATTGTGTATGAATTTCTTTTCTATCTAACTGTTATAATTCTGCACCAATTTTATTTTTAAAATAATTTTTTTTAAAAATATATTTTTTTAAAATATAAAATTTTTGTCACGGATTCGTTCCGTGACAAATCTTCCGTAACAATTTTTTTAAGGAAAAATTGAAAATAATAATCCCAACTATTGGCGGTCCGCCGACAATAATCCCAACTATTGATTATTTTTGTATAATCCCAACTATATAGACCGTCCGCTAATAATGGTCCATGACCAGATATTACCTCCTATAACAAGTGAATTTTAAATAGAAATTAAGCGTAAAAATTAAACATTGAGATTATTTATAAGGATTACTTGTTGTATCTCATCTCATCCACTTAAACAACTACAAGAATTTATTTATAGGGACCATTATTGGCGGAAGGTCCCTAAAGTTGGGATTATTCTGGAATAATCAATAGTTAGGATTATTATGAGCGGACAGCCAATAGTTGAGATTATTACAATCAATTTTTCCTTTTTTTAAAATAAATTTTAAATAATGTTTTTTTTAAATATAAAATTTTTTGTCACGGATGTCGTCCATGACAACTTTTGAAAAAAAATCCCGCCCATCGAAAAATTATAAAATTTAAATTTTAAATTTTTAATAAATTATATTTTTTTAAATATAAAATATTTGCCACAGATTTTGTCCGTGACATAATGAAAATTTCAAAATTTTCAATTTCCCCGCCCATTTTATTTATGATAAGAGATGAAAAATAAAAAATATATATTTGTCACAATTGTGACCGACAACACTGTCCCTGTGACGTTTTTGTCACGGATAAGGGCTGTAAGTAGTCCGTGACAACAACTTATTTGTCACGCCAATATTGTCACGGATTCCAACCGTGACAAATTCCGTGACAAAAATGATTTGTCACGCATTTTTTACACTGCGGTCCGTGACAAACGAGTTGATTTTTTTTGTAGTGTATGCTAGCTAGGGTGTCCCATTGTTAACAAAAAACAACATTCCGTTTCTTTTTTATAGAGTCCGTTGGGGGGACAAAAAGAGTGAACATTTTACTACAGACTTAAAACATAGTAAAAGCCACAACAATCCTAAAGTGCCATAACATTGTCCAGAAGGCACTGCGCTTTACAGGTTACATTTTTAGTGTGAACCCCTGCTCTTTATTCTTTACTACGGTGTTCACGTCGGTAAATAAGTGTGTTGATTATAATTAAATTGCATTCAAATTTTTGTCGGGCCACATGATCGAATCTGTATAAAATAGAAACTAAATTAGGATACATAATCCCAATATGAACAGAGAAATTAAACGAAATATATAACGATTCCCTATCATAATGATGATTTGATTCTTGTCTTGGTATATACTACCTCCGTCCCACTATGTTTGGGACAATTCGTTTTACGATGCTTGACCAACGATAAAGCAAATAGATCCCTGTCCGCACTCAAATTATTTTTTAGAAAAAAAAATGCATGTGTAGAAACTACATTAAAAACTTTAATCGCAAAAACCAGAATCAAAATTTGATAATAATTTGATATATAAAGTAAGAGATTAAAAGTGATTTATATTAACCAAGTGAATAGTGTCTGAGACAATCTTAGCGGGACGGACGGAGTAATAAGCAAGAATAATGTATACAACCCATATAAGGGACAATAAAGAGGCCGGATATAAGAAAACATTAACTTACTAGATTACTAGCTGTCATATATGTTAAAGATTATGGCAAGAGTAGAATATTTCCTTACAAGATAATACTACGTGCAAGAATTGTATGAGTATATAGCTGGCTAGGTAATTGAAATATTGATGTCGAAAAGTAATTAAGGAATTTTGGTGTGTGGAATGATGGATCTTAAGTTCCCGCAAAGTGCAGCCTGGCTTTTGATATTAGCTTTGGGTTTTCATAATATTTGGCACGCTTCCGCCACTCCTCCACCAGCGAAAAACCGAGTGGATAGAACGTGTTCCCAAACAATCGATCCACCTCAATGCGTGCAGATATTAAGGTCCGAATCGCGCATTACCAGTGATTCCAGCTATGGTGAAATCGGAAAAGAATGCATGGAGCTATTGATAGCTACAACAGTAACTGCACAAAATATTTCAACTTCTTTACTTCAACAAGAGAAAGATCTGTTGGGTCCCGATTTTACTCATGGGCTCGAGGCATACAATAAAAGCCCAATTGGTGACAAGCTTGATGGATTAATTTAAGAAGATAAGAATGGCCCACTCTAAAGACACGTGAAGAGGAAACCAAGTCAAAAAGAGAAAGATGATTTCGAATAAGGAGGGAGTAGCAACAGAAGTGCAGAAAGATCGTAAGAAGCCTATTAACTCGCTGAGTGGGTGCGAAGCTTGGGGAAAAGAATTTTTAGAGGTTAATAAATACATTACTAATAGAGGCTGGTTGGGCACGAAAAAACATACGATCATACTAGCTATTATTCTGTACTCGAAAGTTCATCATTCAAATTATTGTTCATTACTGCTATTATTAGCTAATTTATTTTCCATATCAATTCGTCCATTGTTGATTCCATATTGCTTGATTCCCAATTCTATATCATATTCCTAGATCAGTTAATTTCTGGTTAAAACAAGATCCAAAAATGGTTTTGAGGTACACTAATTGTAACCAGTTTTATCAATCTGTTGAGAGAGTGTTTGGGTTGCCGTCGTGCTTTGACGAGGTCATTAGGTGTGGTGGTGACCGATATTGTATCTTCAGTGGGTTTGGTGAAGTTAGTAACTGCAATGCTGAATTCGTGGAGCCGCCCGCTGAACCTAGCCCCCTAACAAGTGTGGGTCAAAAGATGACTCTACTTGTCTCTATGGCAAATATTGCATTGGTATATCGGGATGAATCAGGCTGCGCCTAGCCACTACTGTTTTACTACTCCCAAGCACTTGTGTATTTTCCTACTTTTCTTTTAAAATAAAGAATTTGTAATTCTGTTCTTATTTTTTATTGGTACAAATCTCAACCATTGAATTTTTATTTTTCCAATTTCACACTAATTATAAAACTAACAAGGTAATATAACACAAATCAACATCTAAATTAATCACTTACATTTGTAGTTTCTATGAGGACAGAAAAGCATGCACATATATGAACGGATGTAAGTCACACTTCTTAATAGGCGTGGGTTCGGTTCACACTTCTTACACTTCTTAATAGGCGTGGGTTCGGTTCACACTTCTTATACTACGTAGTTCTTACGTTCTTTCTTCGTAGACCCGTTTGTAAGTGTGGCTTTTATGACTTTGGCTAATTGGTCACTCCAAATTGTGATAGATACCAATTCACTAGTACTATGTAATTACGTACAATATTACTCATCCGAGATTGAAGCGAATTACTCAAAAATGGAAAAACCGAAAAAAATGAAATTTTTTATACGTAGACTAGTGTAATACACAACTACGGAGTATTTTCCATATATGAGTTAATAGCGACTAAACAAATCCCTAAATGCACAAATAAAACTATTACATATCTACCTAAATAAAACTATTACATATAAACTATTACAAATAAAACTATACTCCGTATAAACTATTAGTTATCGTCCCAAAATACGACTAAAGTATATCATATCTACCTATTATATCCTTACCATAAGATAATCATACTTTAATTTGTAATAAACAAAAAAAAACAATAAAAAATAATTTAACTCATACAAAAATCGTGAAAAATTATAACAAAAATCTAAAATATTTTTAAAAATACTAAAATACTAAAAATGAAAAAAAAATTAAAAAAATAAAAAACTTCAAAAATAATAAAAATTAGATAAAACACCTTAAAAAAATTGGATGGCTCTCCCACAGTCTCGGCTACTGCCCAACCAAGTTACACCAGATCGACTAAAAAATGTCATTTTGTGTCAAAATTGGCATTTTTTCGACAACATTTGTATGTAGTAGTTTAATCAATTATAGTAGAATTTAATGACCTTGCTAGTAGTTTAATAATTTTTAGTAGAATTCCATTTTAGTGTCTTAGGATCTAGTAAGTTGATTTTATCCACACCTAGGTTCTATCAGACTATCAGTACGTTGAAAATCATAAGAAAGAGCGAACATGTTACTCAAATACTTGTGTGCAAAAGGCTACTTAAGATATTTATATTTGTGGAGTTTATTGTTTTACATCTGTTGCGTATATTTGACATGTCTGTTGTATATTGTGATTTTGTAGACTTGCTAATTAATTATACGGAGTATCTAAATCTAAATAAGAAATCAATTCAGAAATAACCAAAACTCAATGTCCTTCACATATAGGACCAGATACCAATTAAAAATGCTTGGAAGCCCAATCGAATAATAACGCATCATGAATTTAAATGCTCTCAGTTCCATTTTCTGGTCATCATCCCAATTCATAACATCTAAAGACTAAAGCTTTGTTTCATCTCACATCAAAACCTCAACCAAAACTTACATTGTTTCCTATTTCCTTAGGAAGTAAATATTACTCATATTTTAGTTTAATTTGACTGATGATTTTTGGTTCGGTTTAAATGTTTAATGATCTCGACCCAAAAGTTAAAAATTATCTGTAAATCTTTAAATTCATAGGCATATATAAGTCGAATTTCTAATTTATTTTGACCCTTACACTATATTTTATTCATTCTTCAAACTATATCTAATTAATTGAGGACCTTATTTGACCCTTACACTAATTATTCATTCCCTACATTAATCAATCGAAGAATTCACAACTCTGAGATTATTCATCCCTAGTCCTAATTATTATGGGGAACGAAGTGTTACCTTTTAGCAACCACATGTTTGGGTGCCAAGAACAAAATACATGCAGAGTTGCCTACTCAACAAATAAAGCAACCATTCCAATTTTTTTAAGCAGCAGTAGTTATACAATGAGTGGTGAGGTGACTTGAAACATCTTCAGTAAACAAAGATTGTTTCTTTATAGTCCAAGAATCTGAAAAATCAGTTAAAAGTTGCTGCTTTAAATGCCAAATCAATTGATAATTGCAATGGCTAAAATAAAATTGCCCAAAATACTTGGTCATTTAAATCTTTCTGAATTCTGAAACATAAGCATGCTCAGAGAGGGGCACCACAGAATTACTGATCAAAGAGGCTTTTTTTTGGGTTGGGCGTACAGTAAAAAAAGGGTACTCAAGGGGCACTTTCTGGGGTAATTAGATGCCCTTCCACTTGTGTATAATAAAACTCGGGTTTAATGCACCAAACCCCTCTGTGATTTGGAAATTCGGCGCATTAGCCCCCTGTGATTTAAAAAATGCGTCAAACCCCCCTGTGTTTTAATTAATCATGCACAGAACCCCCTTTATGAATAAATTTAACGATTTGAAAATCACTTTTCCTAATATTTTGATTGAATATGCAAATAAATATGTCAAAATCTCTGAATCATACAAAAATGTTAATCATTTTTCTTTTATTTGACAATTGAATTTGTTCACATAAGGGATTTGGCGCATGATTAATTAAAACACAGGGGAGTTTGACGCATTTTTTAAATCACAGGGGGCTAATGCGCCGAATTTCCAAATCACAGGGGGGTTTGGTGCATTAAACCCAATAAAACTCATCATCATCCAAAGACAACATAGGACTCTCCATCTCGAACTCTCGAAGTCTCCCTTTTTCGCAGTTCAGTGCATTTATAATCTGGGTAAAACAAAACCCTAATCTTGAAACGGTCATATACACGTGCAGTGAACGCTATGTCGGAGAACGACCCTCTGCCGGATGATCTCCGGTGCAAACGGACCGATGGCAGGCAATGGCGGTGCAAGCGGCGCGTCCTGGAAGGGAAGAAGCTCTGCGATCTTCACCACATGCAGGGCCGCCACCGGCAGATGAAGCAGAAGGTCCCGGATTCTCTCAAATTCGAACGGGCGAGGAACATAAAGATCAAGAATAGCGGCGAAATTGGGGTCTCCAAGAAGAAATTGAAGGCTTCTAAGCGGAAACGCTGCGTTTCGGAGGCTTTGGATGAGGCATTGAAGAGGATGGAGCTGAAGAGAGGGGATTTGCCACTGGAGCTGATTCGGGTTTTCTTGAAAAGGCAAGTAGAGAAGAGGAAACAGAAAGAGTTGAAGAACTCGGTCGAATTAACTCGTGAATTACCCAATGCTGTTATGGCTATTCCCAATTTGCCTTCTCATGATCCTAGCAACTCCACCTGTTCTTCTTCTAACATTAAATTGGGAGTGAATTTGAGCCCGTTCTCAGCCAGACATTTTCGGTCAAAGAATATTGAACCACTTCCCATCAGTACAATGCAGGTAGGTGTCTCTCTTTTTTTGTATCTCCTGTTTCGATTGATGACAACTGATATTAGTGATGTGGTGCATTGTGCTCAATGATATGACCAGGCTCTGCCGTTATCAAAGAATATGAGGAAAGTTAAGAGGAAGAAATGCCACTGGTGTAGAAGAACCAACTACAGGACTTTAATCAAGTGCTCAAGTTGCAAAAAGCAATTCTTTTGCACAGATTGTATTAAAGAACGGTTTGTGATTCCACCTCCCTTTTTTCTAGTCTTAATCTTTCTGGGTGTGCCTGCAGATTCTTGCTCCTGAATTACCAAATAGGTGTAACTAATATCAATATACGTAGTGATACTCAATTGAAGTGCCACAATTATTGTTATTTCTTTTTGTTTTTGGGTTCAAAACTTACCACAATATCTTGGAGAGGAAACTCTTGTAAGCATCTGATGTTTGAGTTGCTTTAGGCACCTCGAGAGGCTTGAAATTCAGGGTTCATGCCCTGTCTGCCGTGGCTGTTGCAACTGTAGAATCTGCACAAAATCAAAACCCAAGGATACCAACTACATCAAGGTCTTTGTTTTATGGGAACATTTTGTTAAATTTTTAGCTACTCAGTGAGTGTGTGTTTGTGTATACATTCTCCATCCTAATAAGATTTGCAAACATTCCTAATCTGGATGTCCCCAAAAACTTTGGCCCACTTTTCCTTTAAGGAAATCAATTTGTGGTTTGTGTTGTTTATCTCTCATATAGATAAATCTCAACCCCACAATTTTCATTTTCTTAATGTGTGTGTGTGTCAGTCAAAGTTGGCAAACCTTCAGGGATGAAGTGTGTGTGTATATACATATCTGTGTGTGTATAACTATGCCCTTCTAATTCTTGCATGCCGGTTTCAGGAATTTTATAGGGATAAGAAAAAGGTAAGAAAAAGTCGTCTGCTTTATTATCTGGTCAATGCCCTTCTTCCGGTGCTGGAAAAGATTATCCAAGACCAGTACATTGAGTTGGAGGTAGAAGCTAACACAACAGGTATACTTTCTGACATTACCCTTGTAATATTTCTGGATGTTTTTTTATTTGAATCTAGCCATGATGTTTAAATATTGAATAGGAAAACCATATTCCATAGTCCAGATACAACAAGCTACAATGGGCTTTGAGAATTCATATTGCTGGTGAGTTGATTGTTTTATTACTTGAAAATTGCAAAATCATTTCAATAAATTAGGGATGGTGACGATTTAGGACCCTACAACTTGAAAAATGTGTGACTAGAGGATGTTTTTCAGATACACTTAATTTGCAGGGAAACTTCACTTGACCTTATACATGACACAAATTTCGGGATTTTGACGGGACTGACCGTTTTCGGCTGATGTGTGTATATATGAAGACTCTGAAAAACTAAAAATAGTTCCCCATCTGAAGCATCCAAAATTGTCTAGCAGCATGTGTTTCGCTTGAAGTTTACTGTAATCCTGCTTTTTTAAGGTTTGGTAGAAATTATTTAGTCGATTTTTTATGACAAAATAAATGAAATTCCAGCACTCTAAATTTAATTTGAAAAAAAATTCTTACATTGCACAGTTTTCGATTTACAACAAAAGTTGACACCTCATTACAATACATGATTAAATATGTCTACCAAACGTTTTGGGATTGATTTTGCAATTTTCCTTGATAGTATTACTAGAAAGTATTGTTGTTGATGAGTAAATGAGTAATGCTCTTGATTACTTCTTCATTGTTGTCCACTGAATTGAATATGGAGCAGCAGTAATTGTAAGACTTCCATTCTAGATTTCCATCGCAGCTGCTCAAGCTGCTCTTTTCTACTTTGCATCAATTGCTGCTCTGACCTTCGGCAGAGATATAAATCTTTTTCTGGCGTGGATGATGGTGATGTCAGCATATCTTGCCCATCTACTGAATCTGGTGGCTGCAGTGGTGGTATTCTTCAATTAAGATCTCTGTTTCCTTGCAATTGGCTTAAAGAGATAGAAGCCAATGCTCGGGAAGCATTATGCAGCAGCAGAAGGTTTGATGAAACTAAAGAAGTTGATAATAATGACACTGCAGTAAATAATTTGCTCATGGAGATGGCTCAAAGGCTCGATTCGAATGACAACTTTCTGTACTGTCCAATTTTGAAGGATCTTCAATTTGAAAATTTTAATAAGTTTTGGGGGAAGGGACATCCTGTTATTGTAAGAAGCGTGCTCCGAAGTTCTTCAGATCTGTCATGGGATCCTGTTTTTATGTTCTGCACTTATCTTGAGAAGAGGTCTAAGTTTCCAAAGGAGAAAGAGGCAAAAAGAAAACCAGATTCCTTGGACTGGTGTGAGGTTGGTATATTGTCTACTATCACATCAAGTCTTAGCACATATCAAAGCTAACATAACTTGGGGACATAAGTTTCCAAATTGACTTATATTTTACATATATATGCTTGCAGGTAGAAATTGCCACAAAGAAGACATTTATGGGCTCATTGCAATGGCAAACACAGGCAACTATTAGGAAGCAGGCGGTTAAGCTTAGAGCATGGCTTTCTCCCTATTTATTTGAAGAACAGTTTCCACTCTATTATGTTGAAATCATGCGAGCGTTGCCATTCCAGGAGTATATGAATCCCAAATCTGGTGCCCTTAATTTAGCCCTGAATGTACCAAGGGAGACGCAACCACTTGACCTTGGCCCTTCAATCTATATTTCATATGGTGGGTCTGAAGAGCTCGTGAGAACTGAATTCGCTACTAACCTTTGCTTTGAGCCATATGATGTGGTTGGTACTCATACTCTTAAAACACAAAAGGACATTCATTATATTGGATGTAGAGGATAAAATTTGTTGTTTTTGTAAAAGAATAAGGTTCCAACTAGTATAGAAGCCATCTGTCACATAGATAATGTCACTTTTTCCAATTTATGATGTCACCCACCCATTTTTATTGTCCCATTTCCTAAAATGGTAAATAAGAAGTCAGAAAAATGTTTTTCTTGAACGATGAACCGTAACAAAATGAGTGGATTAGAATGAAGATGCTTATGTCTTAATATCTGTTCCAAGTGTGTGCAAAGTCATTTTTGGGATGTAGGGAGCATCATGTTAAGTACTTCTGACTTCTGTTGAAGACCTCATTCAGGGAGGGGAGTGAGCCTGGGAACAAGAAGGGAAGTAAGCCGTTGGGAAGGCATCTATGATTTAACTACGAATTAAATTAAAATATTATGTTGGAATTAGTTCAATGCTCGACCTATTCAAGACACACAAATTAATTCTTTCAAAAGTGATTAATTTGAATAATAATGACCCTTATATAGAAGCTATTAAAAGAGTCCTAATTGTAAGAGAAATACTCTTAGGAATACTAATAAAATAATTGTAATAGGAGTACTATTAGTCCTATTGTAATAGAATTATAGGAATGCTAATAAAGTAATAGTCTCCTAATTGATCTGTATAACTTTTGGATCACAGATCATCTAGAACAAAACGTGCCTCTCTTTTAATTTTATAGCCACTTAATTCTTTAATGGATCTTGGCCCACTATCTGTTGAGGGGCCTGGTTCCTTAACCTGTGCTTGGCATTGTCAATGGTAGTAAGAAAGCATCCGTAACATATTACAATGGCCAATATGGAAACATGTACTTGCACTTTGCTTTTGCTATAATTGAAGCAAAAATAGAAGTTATTTTTCTTCCTTGTATTTTATGTACCGGAAAGAAGAAATAAAGTCTTGTCATTTACAAGTATTATCAGTTTTACAGTTTGTAAGTATTTGATTCATTTCAATTTGTTTCTTGATTTGGTCCCAGGTTAACATTTTAGCATATGCTGCTGATGCACCCATTTCTAAAGAACAGCTTTGCAAAGTAAAAACTTTAATGAAAAAGAAGATTCACATGAAGGATCAGACAGAAACTACAAGCACTTCTACCGAGCATAGAGGAAAATCATCCCTACAGAGTGAAGATACCGATGAGTCGGGCTTGCAGGATGTGAATGCAGAACAAGTCCAGTTGCCTGATGCAATTGCCAAAGTGCCCTTCTACTCGGCTGATTCACACACAAAAGCCCAAACGGTCCTGGAGGAAAGTAATATGCTTACTGATAGTGAATGTGATGCAGGATCTGATTCAGACATCTCAATTCTCTGCTCTGAATCAATTGACAGATTGACAGATTCAGAAAATGATGATCCCTTTCACGAAAGTTGTATGGAAAAAGTGACTGCAATTTCTGGGGCTCAGTGGGACATTTTCCGCCGACAAGATGTACCAAAACTTCTAGAATATCTCGGGAAGCACTCTAAGGAGTTCACCTCTTCTTGCTGTTACTCTAAAAAAGTATTACCTAGAAAAAACTTCTCCATATATTTTGGTGCTGTTTGGATCCTGGAAAATACTAGTGGAAGAAATATGGAAGGAAATAAATGTGGAGGGAAATAAAAAAACGTAGTACTACGTAGTACTTTGCAGGACCCAAACTTACCCTTAAATATGTAAGAAGCATCTAATTTTGTGTGTGTTGTCTGTGAATCCATCACAGGTTGTGCATCCAATTCTTGATCAATGCTTCTTTCTGGATGCGTATCATAAACTGAAGCTTAAGGAGGAATTCGGTGATTCAATCTCCTGACCTTCTTCAACCATCTATTTATGTAATTGCTCCTGTTTTTTAAGTGATTCCTTGTGTAATTTTGTTAGATGTACAACCATGGACCTTTGAGCAACATCCTGGTGAAGCTGTTACCGTGCCAGCTGGATGCCCATATCAAGTGCGACAACTTAAGGTGTCAATTTTTCTTATATGTGTGAGTGTGTCTTTGTTTTAGGTTCCCTAGTGGATTTTAAACAACCAGAGGTAAGTCATTAAAAGGACCAAAGTAGAAAGGAATGGATAGTTATCCACCAAAAGTGGAAAATACTGAAGTCATCTACCAAAAGTGAGACTGATATAAACAAGAGAGTTCATCACTTTTTTTCACAGATCAACTTTGCATAACAACAATACCAAACCTGCTGTATATGCCTGAAGGAAAGTTTTCCATGTGTATGATTACATCTTGCCTTTATATGTCTAAAAAAATATTATTATATGCAGTCATGTGTCAACATTGTTTTGAACTTTCTATCACCCGAAAGTGCTGCTGAGTGCATCCGTTTGACCGATGAGATCCGGCTCCTTCCAGGACATCACAAAGCCAAAAAGAAATTGATGGAGGCAAGTTTCACGGGTCTTACATTTGTTGTTTTTGCAATGACTTTTGTTGACAAATGTTTTACATATTCCAAATGGACTAACCATCAAAACAGGTTAAAAAAATGGCTATTTGTAGCATCCAAGATGCAGTTGACAAAATTCAAGATATCACTAATACACGTACTTGAATCGTTCTGAAAAGTCAAAGCTATCCAACATGAAGATATCTCAAAGCTTGGCTGGACCGTATCCCAAAGGTGATTAATTTTTCAGTATTACTTGCTTATGATTTTTTCATGCTTTATAGTATGACAAGATGAAGAACATAGCTTGGTGATATACAGCTATGTTACATTCCTTTCTGGGCCCCACATATGAAGTGGTGCCAATAAAATACTTTTTTTAGTGAACGCATTTAGTGAGTGTTGGTACATGCTTTCTCTCTAAAAGTGTTTTGAATAGAATGTGCATCCGTTAAGACAACATTTGACAAATCTTAATGGAACCTGTTTTTCTTTTAAGTAAATTGCTGAGGTGAGGGTCCGTGAAAGGGTCCCAGACTCCCAGTGTCCCACCACAAGGGTGTGTAGGGGCAAGCCTTCCATTGACAATTTTTTACAAGAGACCACTCCCAAGACTAACCCATGACCTCTAGGTCACACAGCAGCACCTTAACCAGGGCATCAAGGTTTTTCTTTAGAAAGAGGGCTAAATTACAAAAACCATTCAATTTGATGGATAAATCCTTTTGATATTTAAATCACATATATGATTCCATTACGGCTAATAAGTTGTTAATGGAGAATTTGGTAAAAGCGTACAATGCTAAAAACATAATTCAAGCTAGAAACTGTCCATTTTTCTCTTTTGAGTTAGTTAACAGACCTGGAGCTTCTTTATTCAAGCTAGAAACTGTCCTATTTTTACCAGTGCCCTATGTGACATTGTTTTTCATTTTCTGTTATATTACCAAAAGTAGTGTACTGCTTAACAGCTGTCCACAACACATTAGGAATATTGTATTGCAACCACACCATTTTCAAACAATAAATCACCTTCTGAAAACGCTTACCCAAACACTGTTATCAGGATTCTACCATTCCAGGTAGGGAGTTGTGCTCATGGTGTTTGTATTTGTCAACAGGAAGAGCTCTCTTGTCCTTTTGTTGTTGAGAAAGCTGCATTATATTAGCTCCTTTTATACATATCTTCGTAATTGGTTAATTGATTTACTATCCGAACGGGTTTCATCTTCATTTTCATCTCAGTGACTGACATGATTAAACAAAGGTAATATTAAATTCATCCTCAAGTAGTGCAAATGCTTTTTTTTTTTGCTTTTGGCATTTCTAACGAGACCTGTGTTTTTTGTGTTCTGGACAGGCAATAAGAATTTATTTGGTGACAATGTGGGGTTTGACCGGCGATCTCATTAGTGGAACTTCTTCATATGCTAACAAAATTTTATTCACTTGTAAATTGTTAGGTGTAATTGTGTAAATAACAATAGCTTTCATTTTCTCTAGGCGTACACAATTTTGGTACTTGCCAATTATTTGGTTTATTCATTTGTTAAGCGGGGTTTTATGCTATGGTTATTTCTGGCTAGAATAATGAGAATTATATTTCAAGCGAAAATGCAATCCGCCTTTCTTAATATGGGCTTTTAAGGCCGGAATCATTCAGAGGGAGGACATAATTAATGGGAGAAAATGAAATGTTTATTAGTAAAATAAAGTTTTTCCGAACAAAAATATGATCAATTATATATTTGGATAAAAAATGACTAGTCACTGTGTATGTGTATGAGTAATTGGACAAGAGTTACTATTTTATATAGAAAAAATTGAAAGTAATAATCTCAACTATAGTGTTGGACCCGGGCCGGGTCGGGTCCGGGCCGGGTCAAGGCCCGGTCGGGCCTCGGGTCCTATAATGGTAGGCCCGGGACCGGCCCGGTCAATGACCGGTTCCGGTTCGGGCCGGGCCACCCGCCCGGGTCACGGGTCGGGCCACCCGCCGGGCCGGGCCGGGCCATTATATTTTTTTTTATTAATTATATATTATACAAATTGCTATTAAAAACAAAGTTCAAGTGCATTTATTTGAAATAAGAACTACATTTGAGAATTGAGAAAAAAATAACAATACGAAATACATTTTGTAATGAATATCAATTGAGATTTCCGCCACCGTTGGTTGTTGTTTTCCCTTTGTCACAAGACTTCATATGTTTTATTGGCATCCCGTATCCGTATGAACCCCCCAAGCAACACTCTTTCTTGCACCACCTGCAAGTTGCCCACCACAGACCGGTCTTCGGGTCCTTCCACTTGTCAAAATTGTTTTGCATAAGGGAAGATGTACTTTCCATATTTAAAATGGTATATGTATAAGTAGGAATGTAGGATAATAAGAGAAGATGAAAATGGAGAAGAGTTGGAGAAGAATTGGAGAAGAGGTGTAGAAAAATGTTAGAAAATAGATGTATTTATAGATGTTAGAGAATATTTGGGAGGTTTGAATTTTTTTTTTTTTTAAAGTTATACACATATTGTAAAATAAATTAATTAATTTAATGAATTAAGTAAAACTAAAACTATTTGTACTTAGAAAAGTGGTTTGATTCATAATTTACAAATGTTACAAAATAGGTGTATAAGTATTTAAACAAATTACATATTCTAAATGTATTTTTAATTTAAAAACCGGCTTTATATTTTAGAAAAATAATTTTAAGTCGTTAGATTGCAACCAATTAATTAATTTGAGAAGTGCTACATATGAAAAAGTGAACACATATTTATTTGAAATATGAAGTACAAGTTTACAAATTAATTTGAACTACAACTACAAATTTACAATTTTGAAATATGAAGTACAAGTTTACAATTTTGAAATATGAAGTACAAGTATAAATAAATTTGACAAGTGCTATAAAATACATTTTGTAATAAATTCTAAAATACTAATCAATCGGAATCTCCGGCATAGGTAGAGCCACCATCGGTTGTTGAGTCATCCATAAAATCTTGGGAGGGGGTGATGTTCAATTCTTGAGTTCTACATGCGGCCTTCAACCAATCGTGGTAGCATATAAGCGTCTCAAGAGACTCTGCGCTCAATCTCGATCTAGATGCCGTTAGGACGTTGCCGGCCGAACTAAATTCTTGTTCCACAGCAACTGTTGAAACCGGCATTGATAGTACTTGTTTAGCCATCCGTGCTAAAATCGGGAACGTTCTTTCTTTTGACTTCCACCAGTCTAGAACGTCAAAGTCATCATTTTCTTCAAAATCAACTTCATATGTTAAATACAAAGTAATCTCATTCAATGCGCTTTGTTCAGTGACGTGAGTTGTTTTAGTTTTTTTCATAAGATTGCCAAATGCAGATTTAAAAATCGATTTTCCTTTAGATGAAGATGTTCGTGACGGGGGAGGGGGAGCGTTGCTATATTGTGCACGAAACTCATTAAATAAGGCATAAAATAAAGTACTAACCTCGTTGTATTCCGTTTTCGGATCTATGGGGTTATCGTCATACATTGGAAATTCACCGAAAAACGCAAGATAATAGAAGTTGAAACAATCTTCCAAATTAGCAAGTCTATAACGAGGATCGAGAATAAATGCAATACCATAAATATGGAGAATATGCGCATAATATTTTAAAAACTTTTCCTTCATATGATCACAAAAATAATGAACGAAAACGGCATTTTGAAATTCTTTAAAAGCATCGGCGAGATTAACAGCTTGTGGAATAAATTGGTTTGCGGTAGGTTTATAAACATGACTAAAAGTTTCAGTAGCATTAAAAAAATATATCAAAACATTACAAATTTTTTCGCAAGTGTCGATCTCAGCCGCGTTTATAATATAGTTATCATGTTCTTTTAAAAAAGCAGGAAAATGTTCTTTATATCTAAGAACAACTTTAAGTAATTTATAAGTACTATTCCAACGAATACTCAAATCTTTAGGAAAAGCAACATATCTCACACCTCTTTCAGTCAAATAACTTTGCCATTTTAATCTAAGTTGACCATTACCCCAAATACGTCTAATCCCCCCTTTATTACCTCCATGGAATCTCCTAACGCTTTTAAACCGTCTTGCACACATAAATTTATAACATGACATGCACAGCGTTGATGAAAAAAATCTACTCATCAAAGAATTGGCACCACACAACTCACGCAATCTAGGTATAACAACAGTATTATTAGTAGCATTATCGAAACCAATAGCAAACACCTTATCAATCAAATTATACTCAATTAAAATACGCTCAATCAAAATATAAATATGTTCAGCGGTGTGACGATCATTAAATTCACGAAAAGCAAGAACACGTTTATGCATATTCCAATCCTCATCAATATAATGTGCAGTCAGACCCAAATAATATAAATGATGAAAATCATCCTCTCATATGTCAGAACAAATAGTAACACGCCCATCAAAGTTTGCAAAAATTTTTTGTAACCTTACCTTTTCCGCATTATAAAGCCTTATTATTTCTTTCTTAACAGTTTTGCGACTATAATTTCTAAATTGAGGATTTAAACTACCTTGTGCATAATCTCTTAAAGCAAGACTTTCAGAAAACAAATAAGGCAAATTTTCTTCACAAATTAAGTTAGCCATACCAGTCAAATTTTGTGCATCATTGTAGGAGAAATTACCAAAAGGTTGAGAATTCGCAAACCTCGATATTTGAGTTCGCTTCCACGTTCCGCCGCCTAATTTTGCATACTCCACGGGGTGCTTTGCCTTAAGATGCCTTGCGGCGAATCCGTATCCGCCGGAGGTTCCCAAACTATAATTGTTGTTGCACCACTTGCAAGTTGCGTGCCAATAGCCGGTTTGTGGGTCCTTCCATTTATCAAAATTATTTTTCATTAGTTCAGACTTACTTTTTTTATTACCGGTGGCGGTTTGGGATGAGGCAGGCGCGTCGGCGTCGTGGCTGCCGGCACCCTCCTCCTCGGCCGTCTCCGGTTCCAATTCCTCCGCATCTTCATCCTCAAGCTCCTCTTCGTCAATGGTCGTCGGCATTTGTTGTTGTTGTAGAAAGCGGTTATTATGTCGGGCCAATTCTTGTTGGAGTTGTTCTTCGGACATCGCATCTCCATGTCGCCTTTGGTAACCCGTTTCAAAATCATCTCGGCTTTGAGATGAAGACCCGGCAAGTTCTTTACCTTTGCGGGATTTCTTCCTCCCAATCTCGTTTCTTCGATTGCGTTGGAGGTTACCCAAATCAACCGAATATCTACCACCTTCCATCTAAAAAATGTAACAAATATTAATTCACAACAAATATAATAATGGATACAAAACTAATGCAACTAATTAAAACTATTTTAATTAATACTTCAAACTAATTTTTTGCAAAGTAGAATTAATGTGTGTCTCTACAATTAAAATTATAGCAACTTTTGAAGTAAATAACTAGTACAAGTAAAAATGTAACAACAATGCTAATTAAGTAGTTAACTAGTATAGTGACAAATGTAACAAACTAACAACTAGTTAAATAAAATGTGAAGTATTTTAATTAGTATAATGAAAAATGTAACAAGAATGGTATTGAACTAATTAACTAGTATAATGAAAAATGTAACAAGAATGCTAATTAACTAATTAACTAGTATAATGAAAAATGTTACAATAATGGTAATGAAGTAATTAACAAGTATAATGAAAAATGTAACAAGAATGCTAATTAACTAATTAACTAGTATAATACTAGTTATAGTAAGTAATATATAATATAATGTTTATATTATATAATATATAAGTATACTACTATAAGATGAGTAATACACTTATATTTTATACTTTAATATATAAAATATATATTAAGTAGATGTAGAATGTATGTATTAAGTGGATATAATAATTGTATAAGAATTAAATATTAGAGTATAATGGAGAATTGGAGATTGGAAAATAAGTATATATAAAATATAAGTAGAGAAGTAGATATTATTATGTATTAAGTATATAGTAATAGTTTATAAAGTATATTTAATACTTTATTATATAAAGTATATATTAAGTAGATATAGTATGTATGTATGTATTAAGAGATATAAGTAGAGATTAAGTAGATAAGAAATATAAGCAATATAGTATATGTAGATAATAATATATAAGTAGATAATTAATATATAAGTAGATATAATAATTGTATAAGTATTAAATAGTAAAATAAAATATAAAGGAGAATAAGAGAATTTGAGAAGATGAATATGGAGAATTGGAGATGAGTAGAGAGTAGGATTTAGGTAGAGTTGCAGAAGAGGTGTGAAAAAATGTTTAAAATTAGGAGTATTTATAGGTTTTTTTTAACCCCCACTCCCCACCCCCCCACCCAAAGCCCCCTGACCCCCCCTGGTACCACCCAACGGCTATATAGCCGTTTGGGGTGGCCGTTGAGCCAAAAGAAGCAAAAAAAAAAAAAAAAAAAAATTAAATTTTGGACCGTTAGGCCCGGGCCCGGGCCCGACCCGGCCGGGCCGGGCCTCCAAAACCAGGACCCGAGCCCGGTCCCGCTAACCCGACCGGGTCCACGCCTACTCAACTATTGTCGGTCCGCTAACAATAATCTGAACTATTGATTATTTTTGT